ACAACCTCTGGGCTGATCTAAGTCAGGGCACAGCTAACTCACAGATGGAGTCCTGAAACAACCTCTGGGCTGATCTAAGTCAGGGCATGGCTAACTCACAGATTTAAAACATCTCAACAACCAATCTGTTTTTACCTACCTTTACATCTTCACCAGATTGCCTCATTTTTAAACGTGGTTCAAGATCCGACAGGGCAATGGCTGCTTCCATCAACTGATCTTCTAAAATCTTGTTCTGATCTTCCATAACGCTAAAACTACAACAAATGTTTGGTAATCGTATCCAAAGATTTTTCCATCCAAAAACGTGGGAAAGGTTAATATTCAATATTTTTAAAGCCATTCCGAGGTTTAAGAAAAAACTGGGTTGAGTTGACAATGCAATGCACTGTGGGACTATTTTAGGGGACTTTGTTCCGAGATGATGTAAGATAGACAATGCACTGCAATACTAACCCGAGCCAGTTTTTTCCTCAGACTTCAAATGTGAGTCTCGAAAGGTTTTTTTCAACCAAAAATCTGGACAAACTTTCCCATTCAAAGAGGATACTTACGATTTGTCCAAGCCCTCTGTAGTTTCAAGTATCGACTCGCACTCAGAAGATAACTTGTCCTCGATAGGTAGATCCTGTGCTGTCCCTGATTGGTATGTTATCTTCTTAGTTGCTTCCCCAGGCATGTCAACTAAGTATGTCTCACTAATCACTGTCGTTGTAGTCGTCTCCCCAGCTCCATCTACTTCACTCTGGGTTGCTCCCCGTAACTGTATTCTACGTGTGGTAGTAGTAGTAGTGGTTGTGGTTTTACCAGCTGTGGCGGTCTCAACGTGAATAACAGTGTCGGTGGAGGTAGTGCTATCTGAGTCTGTGTCTCCTCTAAGATGACTAGACAGCAATGGGGAAGTCTGAAAAAAAATGACCAAAATGAAAAGAATGTATGCAGTGGGAGTGAAGAATTAAGCGCAGCAAATGGAAGAATGGGTGCTTTACATCTTACTTAATATCATCACAGGAAAAAGAACCGGATTCCCAAATTGGGAATTTGTTGGGAATTTCCTTGAATTCCCAACGAATTCCCATCCAATTCCCAGAGAGAACGAAATTGGGAACGTGGCACTGATTCCCAATGTTAGTTTGTTGGGAATTTTGTTTTTCTATTGGGCATTAGAAGGAAATTCCCAACAATAAATCCCAACGTTTGTGTTCGAATTGGGAATTCAAGGAAATTCCCAACAATTCCCAATTTGAGAATCCGGTTTTTTTTCCTGTGCCACTCTGGTTCGATTCCTGGTGTTGACGTATGTGAGTAGAATTGTTCGTTGGTTCTCTCCAGTGTTCTTAATGAGGGAAAAAACCTTTGAAGCAGAGGAAATAAAAAAAATCAACCTACRTCTTCATCTGATGAGATTGGAGACAGTGTGTACATCTCGGAATGCTTGACACGTCTGGATAAATCTGTCTCCTTTAAATTAAAACACCATTCAATAATCAATCCTCAACCAAACAGAGTAGTACATGAAGTGGAACCCATAAGATTACAGAATATATTCAATGTCATGAGCGTACCCAAAAGTAAGGGAGACCACAGGGCATGTGCGTGCACTATTTTGTTATTCGTGTAAAAAATAACATGAAGAGAAGTTAAGAACTTGAGAAGTGTTCAGAAGCATTTTGTTATGCATTGTGACCCCTTCCACTTCTATCTTGTCCTGCCAAAACTCCACATGTTTTATTAGCCATTCTGAGGTTGAGGAAACAACTTGACCAAGTTAAAATTACAGTATATTGTGGGAGTGTTTTGGGGGAGCTTTTTCAAGATGGCATCTATTTCGTCTTCTTATTAACAGTCGTACAATGCACTGTGATACCAAATTCCACCCAGTTTTTTTCTCAACCTTGCACACAGCACAGCAAACCATTTTTTTTTTCAATTATTTAACTGAAACCACTTACGAATGAAGGAGCATCTACTGTAGTTGTGGAAGTTTTGAGGATTTCTTCATGTGGCTCAATCTCCTGTTATTTAAATGGCACAATTATAATAAAGAAAGTAATCCATATCTTGAAGAAGATAATATAGGTAAGTTGTAGTGCTTGGGAACGAGGTTATTCCGGGCGAAAGCCCTTGGAATTAAATTCGGAAAAATTAATTTCCGACCTCGCTGGGATTCGAACCCACGACCTTCGGAATTGTACTACCGATGCTCTACCAGCTGAGCTAGAGGTCAGACTGAGAGCAGGCCGGGGTGAAATAGATGTTAGGTYGCGGTAATTATGATGCAAAGATGAGAGTATGTGGACCGCGTGGCACTAATAAAATAGTAGAAGATAATATAGGTAAGTTGTAGTGCTTGGGAACGAGGTTATTCCGGGCGAAAGCCCTTGGAAWTAAATTCGGAAAAATTAATTTCCGACCTCGCATCATAATTACCGCGACCTAACATCTATTTCACCCCGGCCTGCTCTCAGTCTGACCTCTAGCTCAGCTGGTAGAGCATCGGTAGTACAATTCCGAAGGTCGTGGGTTCGAATCCCAGCGAGGTCGGAAATTAATCTTTCCGAATTTAATTCCAAGGGCTTTCGCCCGGAATAACCTCGTTCCCAAGCACTACAACTTACCTATATTATCTTCTACTATTTCATTAGTGCCACGCGGTCCACATACTCTCATATTTTGAAGAAATGTGTAGTTCCAGAAATCATCCATGCCTACCCCACAGAGGAATTTGGAATTTCCGAAGAGTAGGGGGGTCAGAGAAATAGCAAAAATTACAGAGTTTGTATGGAAGAAAATTGGAATTTCCAGGGGGTAGGGCGGTGTCTTAAAAAAATTCCTTTGTGAGGGGGGTATGGATAATTTTTGGAACTACACAATAAGATGAAAATTCGTAAAAGTAGAGATCTAGAATCATTTAAAGTCCAATACGAGAACATTTATAGTTTCTACATATTTATATTTATAAGATATTTGAGATATGACGCACACACTGATTGGCTAGGTATTGTGTTTATATCAGAGATACGCTCGTGCAAAATCATTCAACAATTTTTTATGAAAGAAATATAAAGCGGGTGCTTATTATGTCTCTGTACTGTGATATAAACACTCTGGGAGCTCTTTCTAACATGGCAGCTATATAGGTGCAGTTAACAATGGATACTAATGAGAAATTTTATGTTAATAGCACCAACATGGCTGCAATGACGTAACATGCGATCCAAGAATTAAYATCAAACATCTATTTACCAGAGATGTAGATGTCGGCGAGAGAGGTTCCGTGCTGGATGAGGAGCTTGAAATATCAGACGAGACGGAACTCAGTCTGATGGATTTTTTCTAAGGATGAAAATGATAAAAAAGCAACATATTACCCTGTTCTTGCCTGTTCGTTACATATGGTGTATGCCTCAGAACAATGGTATAAAGCTTTAAGGTTGTGATGTTTTTTCAGGTGCAACTGTTCACAAATACGTCAAGAGAAAAATGATAATATCCAAGCTAGATCATAATATACATCTCTTTTGCCTTATTGTGTAGCCCCAGAAATTATCCATATCCCCCCTTCCTCCCCATGGAGGATTTCTTTAAGACCCCCTACAGCAGAAATTCCAATTTCCCCCATAGGAACTCTGTTCTTTCTCTGACTCCTACACACCAGTTAACGAACCGTGGTGCATTCTGGTCTAGCTTGGGTAAACTATCCAATAAGTTGTACTAAATTATGTTATATCTCACACATACTTTTGTGATTATTGGTAAACTATAATTATGAAAATTATTATGAGAAGCATTAATAAATTAATTTTGAAAAAAAAAGTAGGAAAAAAAGTAGTGCAGGCATGCGGAAGTAAAAGAGTGAGAGAATAGGAATATCACCGTATAATATATATTCTAAAATGGGTGCCCTAAATACGCTCTGTGCATCGTACCACAAACCTACACTGGTAGACTGCAACCAAAATACTAACCTCTCCTATAAAGACACGGGGGAAGTCGGACGAATCAGACTGGGAGCTTATATCACTTTTATCACTCTTATCGCTAGAATGGGAAGATTTTCTCAGATAGAAAGCTTTGGATTGACGAGTCATTTTGTCATCAGTGACAGAAGAAGTCTTGAAATGAGATGAGAAGAGAAGAAAGATCTCTTGAGTAAGCAACTCAAATTTGAAAAAAAACTTCACTATAAATTCCAGCTTTAAACACCTAGGGAAGTTAGACCTTTTTAGCTTGGTATGAGGTTTTCCCACTTCTGACCATGTGTCATTCTCTGGAGAATAAGACTCTTTGAGTTGTATCCATAATCATGTGTCTTCTCATGTGCATCCATTAAACAAAGAAATGATACTCTAGGGAATGACTGGTCTGTAATGGGAAAACTTTGTGGCCGAGCTAAAAAGGGTCTAGCTATTCTGAGTAAGAATTACCGAATGCCATCACAGTTTATCTCAATATTTTTTTCAAAGTATGTAAAGAAATTAAACTCAAGGGAATGATACAGTACATAGACTAAAAAGAAGTAATTATGTTGAATTTCGATAAAAAGAAATAATTTTGTGAAATTGCTTTTCTATTGAGTTGTTTACGCAAAGAGAGGTTAGTTTAACAGAGAATTATAAAGTCATTGACTTTTTATGTACGAATAGATCTATCAAAGATTATTAAGTTATCGCAATACTTTTTATTTAATAATATGCTGCTAAAACAATAATATGAATACCGTGACATATTGATGACTGACTGATGACGTAGAAGAAACCTCGCGCTGTGATTGACGCATACCAATGTCATATGACTCGAGTCGCTCGTAGAGGCATGTTAGGTACATGGTAATCATTTTCTTGTCTGGCTTTTCAATGTCGACATCTGGAATTTCAATTCCAAACTTGAATTAGAGGATTAATTGTTGACCAGTTTTTCAATGTACCACTCCTGGTTGGGGGAGGGGAGGGCATAGTAGTCACATGCGTGGAAGGGGTGGGAGAGGAGTATTTGTCGCATACTTACCAATGGGCTCCAATAGTCGTGGCACATTCCATTCTAAGGAAGCCATCGTAAAGGCATGTTCTAATCGACTAATGTTGTCCATTGTCATGATGTGTGAAAAATCAAACAGATCAGGCCTAAGAAGGAATGAAAACAAATGAAAACGATTAAAATTGAATGTTATCATATATCACATCATGTCACGTCAGGCCCTGCCTTACCCCACCCATCCCTACCATGGCACCAAGCCACACCATGCCACACCGGTCAGTCTCACAATCCGGTGTTGCTGGGTTCGAGTGATGCTGTGGCCACTAGCTGAGACTGTATTTGTCCTGATTCCTGATTATGCAACTATTTCTTCATTTCATTATTATTGTTTATTATTATTATTAATATTATTATTATTATTATTAWTATTAATCTAAAGATAAGGTTTTTGATCTAATTTCTCAAGACCTTATGTTTAAAACTATTTATTTTAGTATATTCAAACTAAACCATTTACTTGTAGGAGTGTAGAACAGCATTAAAGGCCTTGCCGTCTCTCCAGCTCGTGGTAAAATCCTTCACTTGGGCAAACTCTTTGTACCTTTTGAAAGTAAAAACCAGCATTGAAAAAATCCTTTATATTTAAGGGTGAATGTAGAAGTCATTACTGGGGTGCAGTGGACATTATGAGATAAATTGGTGGTTTGGGAGATGAACATAGGAAGGAAGAGAGGGAAAGAGAGAGAAAGCATGGGCAAATCCAGGATTTCGTTCAGGGAGGGGTGCTGCACACAAAGTTGACCCAGGGAGGGGTGCAGCCCTTGGAATCAAAGGGGAAAAACGTTATTTTGCATTGGTTATCTTCAAATTAAGGGCAAAGAGTCAAACCAGGGAGGGCTTCCGCACCTCCTGCACACCTCCCCTGGATCCGCCCTTGGTTAGAGAGATGGGTGGATGGATTAATGCATGTGACGCCCAGATGATTGGTTTGGTGGAGGAAGGGATTGATAAATAATGGAAGAGATTGGTGGGATTGATGGAAGATGAATGAATGAATAAAAAAGAATGGATGGATGAATGGAATGAAATGGGATGGATGGAGGAAGGGAGGGAGGGAGGGAGGGAAGAAGGGAGAGAGGGAGTGAGGGA